AAGTCCCCCCCCCCCCCCCCCAAACACACTGCTCCTTTGCTACTTGCCCAAGCCCTGCCCTGGAGTGCTTCAGTACTCCACATCTGCTAAGGGAGAGGGAAGAACTCCAGTTTCCATGTTCCTTCACACCCTGGGATTGCCTCACCACACCAGTTCCCTAGTAGCACCAAACCTTGCCTTGGAGGCGCTCTTAATAACAACTGCCCTGATGCAGTATGTGAGCAGGTGTGGAGCGTGGAATTCATTTGCATCTCCCCAGCTCCTCCTCCTCAGCAAAGCAGGGGTAATAACACTAGCAGGAGAGAAATTGGCCCGCAATTCTCTTGAGTGTGTTTTTAACATCTGTTCCATGTCTCTTGCTTCCCTGGTGAGTCCAGTCCTCTGCCAGCCCTGTAAACCTCTCTGCTCTTTATGGCATCATAAGAACATGCCAGGCTGGGTTTCCAGGAGCTCTCAGAGTTGGCCTCATTCTCCTCCCTGATGCCATCTTCACTGATGACAGTGGGAGCAGAGTCAGGGCAATGCCAAGAACACTGGAAAATGCTGCCTGCGTCAAACAGGCTGGGGCAACCCAAACTTCAGCACACAGTCCTGCTTGTAGCCTCAGCCTGGACAGTGGGAAGGTGTTCCAGTTTCTGTGGCTCACTCCAGCTAGGTGCTGATAGCAGAGGGACAGCCAAAGGCAGAGAATGGGACTGAAACCCCTGAAACGTTTCATACAGGCTGTCAAACAGCTCTGGTATATCTAATCCCTGGGATCTCAATATGTGCTTTAGTAGTTTTAGAACCCATGATGAACTGCCCCCCACACGAGGCAGTCCCCCTTCTCCAGATTGTGCTAGTAAATGGGTTGGAGGGAACGGTGGGGTTTGAAAGGAAGGACTATCTCCTGGCAGAGCCATGGGAGCCACCTCCACCGGATTGAGACAGTGTGATCCCAGAGTTGATTCCCTGGCTCTGAACCTCCTCTGTCACCAGCATGCAAGAAGTATCTCTGCTTATATCAATGGAATGATGTAAATGGAAAGAGTGGAACTAGTTCCACCTTCAGTTTTTAGAAAGGAAATACTCTGCTCTGGGCTGAGCTGGCTTTGAGCCCAACACAGGAATGGAGACTGCAGAGGATCCCAGGCTGCTCTGCAGAGGGAGGCTTACTGGGTCCAAGACAGGCTGTCTGTCTCTCTCTGATATGCAGGACTTAATCCTCAGCAGTTGTAGGGCAGTGTGACTCTGCTGCTTTCTTCAGTGGAGATGCACCAATTTGCATCACCTGTAAATCCGGAGAAGCAGCCACTGACACAACCTGTCACAGACAGCTCATCATAGACAGCAATAAACTAACTGCCTGACTGCTCCCTGGCTTGACATTGATGTCTAGGACCCTGACAGCTGACCTAAGCCATGAGAGGGCTGAAGCAGGTCATAAACTATGGCACCCCCAATGCAGTAGGAATGTCTCTCTCAAGGCAGTCAATGACCTTGAATGCTGACAGTCCCCTTTGGGAAAGATCGGTTCTTGTACCCTCCCATTTTCTGAAGTATCCTGGAGCTTCCTCTATCATGACCCTCCTGTTTCATTCCTTGTGGTTTGCAGTGATTGTGGGCAGTGGAGAGAGAGAGAGAGAGAGAGAGAGAGAGAAAGACCGTGAGATAGAGAGGAAGGAGAGGAGAACAGCAAGAAAGGAAGCTGGTTAATCAATACTGGGCTTGACCAGGTAGCCATTGAAGGTTATGTAGACATCAATGTCATCACTGTAGATGGCATTCTCACGCTCACGCTTGTAGAGGCGCACCCAAACCTCATCTTTCTCCTGTAGCTCTAGCATGAGACTCTGGCTCTGCATAATGCTGCGGTCGCTGGGCTGGGCATAGAGGATGACTTCCTCGGTCTCATTGCGCATGATGTGCATGTAGGTCTCCTTGAAGTTCCAGGTGTGGACATTGAGGCTGAAGAAGTAGAGGCCAGCCACGTAGCAGTAGAACTTGCCATTGAACATGTTGAAGTGGCCATACAGATTGACGAAGACGGTGTCAAAGATTAAGGCCTGGTAGCCCTCACTGCTGTGGAGTGCCTTCTTGCGGCCCACTGAGAAAGCAGCGTACTGATGCTTGCAGGGATCACCTGGGGCACCCATTTGGCCCTTGCTGCCTTTCTGACCCTGGGGTCCCCGCTCACCTCGTGGCCCTTCTTTTCCCCATTTCCCTGGCATCCCAGACTCTCCCCGGTCTCCTTTTTCACCTGCAAAATAAGCAGAAGACATGCCCCATGTGATATTTTAGGGAGATGGAGAAGGTGCCCAAACCAGGTTCTTGTGAGAAGGTGCCAGAAGGAGACAGTGGCTGTGGCCAGATACTAGAGTTGCACATTCATCTTCTTATTGGCACCAGCACAGGGGGCAGAGTGGATGTAGTCTGTGCCTTCCACAGTAAAGGTCTGGGGAAGATGGTGTTGCCTCCAACAGAGGCGTTATACTTTATACCCCTGCTTTAATGTGTCCTTGCAAGGAGGAGAAACCATTTGAGACCAGGTTCTCCCAACCCCAACTCCCTCTTCTACCCCAGAATGCCCCCTGTGCTGGGGAGGCAGTCATGGACATGCTCCCTGTCATGAATACGGTTCAGTGCTCACCAACACTGGAAATATTTCCTGGAAAGGATGGGTAGCTTAGGCCCAGCTAACCCAAGGGGGCTGTCGGGCAACAGTAAATGGCCTGAACAACAGAATTCCCCATCACTGACAAGACTCACCGCACATGCACATTTTAGACATCGGCACAGTGCAGGCTCAAATGAGGACCCTTGATGGAGCAGCTGCTCTGAAACAGAGGCATCCCCATTCCACCCTACGCTCAACCAGCAGGAGCTGCGTGGGACAGGTCTTGGTTGGGAGTTGCTCTTTGCACATCTAAGTGTGGGGGTGTCCGTGCAAATATCCT